TATTTTTAGTTAAAATAAATTTAATCAGTAATCATTTTAAAACCATTTTTTTTTAATTTGAAAAATCACCAACATAAAATATTTTATTATTAATTGAAATAAATTTCATCAATATTTTTTTAAATGTAAGTATTTTTTTTGTAAATGTAAGTACTTTTTTGGTATATTTGTTTAATTTTATAGATGTAAGTACTTTTTTGGTTTAAAAAATGTTTAAGGACTTACTCGTTCAAAATATGAAAGTCCATAGACTTTTTTCAGACCTTTTCCATTTTTTATCACATTAACATGTTGTATAGGTCATAAAATGTATCAAACAAATTTTAGAAAGTCTAAAGAGTTATTTAACAAGTTTTTGAAATGTTCAATGACTTATTTGTCATATAAAATTGTCCAAACATTTAATCATTCCAAACAATAAAAGTTCATTGGGTTTTTGTAGACTTTTTCATTTAATTTTTCTTTCATTTTTGTCTCATTTTGTTGCACCTATTTTAATGAAGCAAAAAAAAAAAAAACTTTTTTTTTTCATGTTATCCCAATTCTTGTCTCTATCCAATGTAATCTCAAACGTAGGAGATTACATTTTATCTGGTCGTATCCTAATACAACCTTAAAAATACATTTATCTTTCATAACATTAAATCTTAAAAAGTTCTTTAAATTTGATTAATCTGTTTTTATATATTTTGAATTTCTTAGTTTCGGAATTTATTTAAATAAATATTTTTCAAAATATTTGTTTATGTTTTAAGAATCTATTGAATGCTAATACATAGATTGTAATGAATTTTAAAAGAGATGGCGTATCAAGAAATTTAAATCAAAATTTATGTCTCTCCGACTCCGTGCCTGGAAATAATCATCACACAACTCCACCATTTCTCACTTACCCCTGTAAAAGCGTACTCAGTACATTTGCACACAACTGGACCTTTAAATTTGAATTCTTTTTATGGCATCCATTTGAATCCATCTTCTTCTTTCATCAAGAAATGCAAATGGGTACGAATCTGGTCTTCATTTGGGGTTTCTCAGCTGTTTTTATAGCAACAACCCTTTTCGCCACTTCCTCTTTCGCTCTCACCCAAGATGGTAAACCCTCCCTTTCATCTTCCAAGTCCGTTCGTTATGTTTTTGCTGTCTTTAGATGCATCGTTTTAATGGCCGTTTTTTTGTTTCTTTAGGTCTAGCTTTGCTGGAGTTCAAACAAACTTTGAATGACACTAAGAACGTTTTGAGCAATTGGGTCGATAATGACGAAACCCCATGTCTATGGACTGGTATTACTTGCCATCCGAGTGACCAAAGAGTTTTATCCATGTAAATCCTCACTTTTTATTTCATCTTTTCAATTGCCCATTTTACAGAAGAAAAAGAGTAACATAAAACCCTAATTTCATTGAATCTTGGATGTCGTATCAAGATTAGTACTTTCTTCATAGCTATCAGAAGTTTTAGCTAAATCTTTAATGGTTTTGACAGAAACTTACCGTACATGGAGTTTGGGGGGTTTATATCTCCAAGCATTGGCAAACTCAGTAGATTACAGAGACTGTAAGTGTACCAGTTGTGAACTCAGCAAATTTGGTGGTACATTTGGTTAATTTCTTCCATGTTTTTCTTTATTATCAGGGCACTTCATCAAAACAGCTTACATGGTCTAATTCCTAATGAAATCAGTAAATGTGTTGAACTCAGAGCTCTGTAAGTGAATGATTTAGAAGTGTTCTGTTTATGAAAATGATTTAGAAATGTACAATGGTTGATGCACATATTACTGATATGCAATGCTTAATCTTGTTTAGGTACTTGAGAGCTAATTATCTCCAGGGTGGCATACCTTCAAATATTGGAAACCTCTCCTTCCTCACTATACTGTAAGCTACTATATCTTTTTTAGATTCTACATTGTTTTGTTGTAAGAGTTTTTTTGGCAACTTTGGGTGTCCGAATGAGCTTGCCCGCATCTCGACTAATTCCATGGGGCCCTGAAGATAACAGCTAGGAAAATCCCGGTGGCCCTTGCTCCCAAGGTCTAGCCTTTATTTGCCTGTTGAGCTGGCATAAAAAACACATATATGATATATGTATGCATTTATGAAACAATGCAGAATAGAGAATATAGGAGTAAAACCGATGCATAGTGTATAAGAGCCCTACGATAGATGGAGGGTTGTGTGCTTTTCCTTACTTTTTATATGTTTCAATGTGCACATCTCTTTTTCTTTTTTGCTGCTTACCATTTACTGGTTTTGATTCGTCTTTCCTTTTTGCTTACACTTCTGCACAAGCTTGGTGTTTTCTTGGAACCAGCCGCTCTAGCCTTTTGGGGTAAAACACAAGTTTGCGTTCATCCCACTTCCAGACCCTAGTTTCTAGCGAGATATGTTGGGTTCGTTTTGGTTTATATAATTGTATCCCTAATTCTTTTCTTATTATTCAGGGATTTGTCGAGCAATACTTTGAAGGGAGCAATACCTTCATCTCTTGGTCATCTCACTCGTCTCAAGTACTTGTAAGTCTGTTCTCTAGTACATGGCGGTGTTGTATTCTTGAATTTCGTGAAAATTTAGAGAATTTAATTGGTCTAGGCATCTAAACTTCTTTTTGTTCGATTTCAGGAACTTATCCACAAACTTTTTTTCGGGGGAAATTCCAAATTTCGGAGCACTGAGCAACTTCGGAAACAACTCGTAAATCTCATCTCCATAACTATAAATAACTAATCTTAATTTCTAATCATCCCTATTCATTTGCATTTGTATGCTTATGCCGAACTTGATAATTCTCTGTTGTAACATCTATCATACAACATTATGCAACGAAGCAGAATATCGTCTAATTACCGTTATATGTTATGTGGCTTAAAAATTTATTGAAATTCTGGAAATGATCATAAGTCTTTGTTCTTCGTAGTTTCTGTTCTTGTTTACTTTTCTTGAAGAGGTTAATCTGAAATATGGGTCACTATTCATAGGTATATCGGTAATTTAGACCTCTGTGGCCAGCAAATACACAAGCCGTGTAAAACTTCATTGGGATTTCCCGCTGTCCTGCCTCATGCCGAAAGTGATGAAGCTGCAGGCAAGTCATCGATATAAAAATCATCTTTTATTCTATTGGCAATAAAAAATGTCAGAATTTTTTTGAATTCAAGAAAATTACTCCAAGGGTCTCGTTGATCTCAATCATTTGTGATTTAATTTGACCGTTACAGTGCCTAAGCATTCATCTCGTTACCTGAAAGGAGCACTGATTGGTGCTACAACCACTTTGGGACTTATGCTCGTGCTCCTCTTGATTTGGATGCTAACAAAGAAAGAACGGGCTGCAAAGAGATACGTTGTCGTTAAAAAACAAGTTCATCAAGAAACAAGTAAAAAAGCACATATCTTTGGTACCATCTTGCCCTTTTAGTAAAATTTATGAATTCCTTTACCAATTTTGTTTTTTCAATTTGTAGGCACACAACTTATAACATTCCACGGCGATCTTCCTTACCCTTCAAGTGAGATTATAGAGAAACTCGAGTCCCTTGACGTTGAGCATGTGGTTGGGGTTGGAGGGTTCGGGACCGTGTACAGAATGGTCATGAACGATTGTGGCACGTTTGCGGTTAAAAGGATCGAACGAAGCCGAGAAGGTCGTGATCAAGCTTTCGAACGAGAGTTGGAAATCTTGGGTAGTGTGAAGCATATAAATCTCGTTAACCTCAGAGGCTACTGCCGCTTTCCTGATTCAAAGCTTCTCATCTACGACTACGTGGCTATGGGCAGTCTCGAAAAATTCTTACATGGTACACTTCTTGCTATTGTTGTTGTAAATTGTTATTGCAATTTAGTATTGGGTAAAATGCAACAAAGTTTGTTTTGGTTCCTATTTAGTGTAATGAATAATTTATTTTTTCGCAATCGATGTATCAAAGTTTATTACTTGTACCAATTTGGACTTGTAACCGGTTGATTTTGTAACATTTGATGACGTAGATACCCGTTTGCAAGACGTTTATCATTCACATCATCATATGTTACACAAAATCAGAAGGTTACTAGTGAAAATGGGTAAGAAATAGAAATTTTGAAACTTTGTTACATTGCTTGCAACTAAATAGGAACTAAAGCAAACTTTGTTGCATTTTGTCCTGTAGTGTACCCTGAGTCCTCTATGCTTTCGTATTCTCAACATTTTATAATTTCCGTTTGTTGCAGAATGTCCGCAAGGAAATCAAACGTTAAGTTGGAATGCTCGTTTGAAAGTAGCATACGGTTCGGCTAGGGGATTGGCATATTTACACCATGATTGCAGTCCTAAAATAGTTCATCGTGATATAAAGTCCAGCAACATTCTTCTGAATGAAAATCTCGAGCCTTGTGTTTCCGACTTTGGTCTTGCCAAACTTTTGGTAGATGAGGAAGCTCATGTGACCACCGTCGTAGCTGGTACTTTTGGCTATTTGGCACCAGGTCTGTCTCTTTCTTGTAAGATTTGATTCTATAAAGTTAATTCCTCTATATCAGTTTATCAGGACATTTAGATATATTCAGTGTACTATAAAGCCGACTTAGTTGTAGCTGAGTGTTCGTAGCAATCATTATAAATATAGGCAAAATTGCTAAACCACTCAAATGCCGTGTTACATTTACCGATTCAAACTGTTTAGAGATGTAACAGTTCATCTGTGATTATGTGAAACAGAGTATCTGCAAAGTGGGAGAGCCACTGTGAAATCAGATGTGTATAGCTTCGGTGTTTTGTTGTTAGAGCTTGTAACGGGAAAGAGACCAACAGATCCAGCTTTCGTGAAACGGGGCCTAAATGTCGTTGGTTGGGTACGTATTTCCGTCATGATTTTTGTTCTCATGTTTACATAAATCGCATATGAGTATGTTTCTTCATCGATCATATACGAACCATCAAACCTCAATATATGTTGGAACCTATAAGGGCTTTGAATAATCTAACAGAGTTCCGGATATTTTCGAAATATACTTGGTCTATCATTGCAAATTTACCTTCATTCATGTTTTGACCATTTTGTTTACAAAACGGACAGTTGAACACCCTGCGAAAGGAGAACCAGTTAGAAGACGTGGTGGATGAGAGGTGCACCGATGCGGACGCATCAACCGTGGAAGCGGTTCTGGAGATTGCAGGCCGGTGCACTGATGCAAACCCAGAGGACAGACCATCTATGCAACAAGTGTTGCAGTTCCTCGAACAGGAGGTGATGTCGCCCTGCCCTAGCGACTTCTATGATTCCCATTCAGATTATGCTTGATTTGAATACCCTTTTCGACATTATTTATGGAAAGATTCTTGACGAAACTTTCAAAAATGAGTAAGTTGTCCAATTTAGATGGGAGCTTTGTATGTACAGTAACTTTTTCTGGATTCAAGGATTTTGTTCATTCACCTGCTACCGAAAACAAATGCCCAAAAGGGTAATCCGTTTGATCATGAATCATTTGCATTTCAGATTATACGTCCGTTTATGGAACCCCCAGCCCCATGCTAGCTTGCCATTTCGGAAAGTTTACGATTATAAATAGCGTAAAAGCATTAGTCAACCAGCTCAAATGACGAATAAAGGCTAGACCTTACATTTCTCCTTCTGTTACTGGGGATTTTTCATGCCTGCTATCAGTCAAGATACTGATAAAAACAAACAAAACAGGTGTTGGAAAGATGGAGGTGCTTATGGGAGCATATTTGGCTTAATTTGAGCATTTTTATTTATAAAGTTGGGAGATATTAAAATATGATGGATGTAGACACACCACACTTATTCTAAAAGCCTTGTTTTTGGGTCTCCTTTTAAGTGGTCCTCATTCAGTGCATCTGTCTTAATCAACTTCCCTTTTGAATTCAGCATGTTTTTATTTATTTATTTCTTTTTCTTATCATCATCAATCCAAAAAGAATACAAAACTTAATACAACTTTTCATCATAATAAGCACAAGAAATGTAAAACTACAATACAACTTTTCATCTCAATTAATGTAAGCTAATAAGCCCCTGATATATTTTCTCATATTCATGTTTTTTTAAATACCAATTTGGCATAAATGGATAATATATTTATGTTATCAAGATTCTGTATTATCCATTTCTAATTGACTTCTTATTATTCCAAATATTTTTGTATTTAAAATTTCTTTTTTCTCCTTTGAAAAACACCTCTCTCAGACATATTAAACACCAATAATAGTACAAGAACAAATGGGTTGTTGACTATTTTGCATTTTACTAAATTTAAATTCAATTAATTTTTAATTTTTAATTTTCTCCGTTTATTTAACTAAATCATAAATCTCCAATCAATGAATTTTGGAACATCAATAATAAAGCTGTACCCAGAAACCAAGTACGTTGGTAAACAAACTTGAGTCGAGTTGAATCAAGTAGTAAGACATTTAAGCTTGAATCTAGTCGATGTCTGAACTCGAGTCATATGTTATTCGATTAATACGAGTATTTTGGAGCAACTTAAATGAAAAAAAAACACAAAAGTAAATAAGGTGAAAGCAGAGGGGGTAAAAAATGAAAATAAAGAAGATGAAGGGGCAATTTGTTAAAAGGTGAAAAGATAGGGGCTCACTAGGTGACACGTACCCATCAAGAGGGTCCCACTGTAAAGATCAACTCGCTCCTTTAGAACGTGGGACTCAGTCCGGTCTGGGTGGATAGAAAACGATCCGCCACGTTGACGTACGTTTGATTTGTCCGACGTGTCGACCATTCATTTTGCTATGGCGGGTCCCATCATGATCCTACGACTGAGATTTCGAGATGGAAGGGTTGGAGTTCCTTATAAAAACAACATGCATCGTATGCTATAGTAGACACCTTGCCATTGAATGGGCCCCTTGTCTTTTTTAAACACTCTTCGTGTTAAAATGACGTAAGACATGGTAAGTCGTCTTATATAGTAAAAATGTGATGTTTTTAAGATAATGCTATAAAACGATAAATTTGTATGTTATATAGTTATGTAAATATATATATATATATATTTATTTATTTTATTATTTAATAATATAATGATATTAAAAACTTTGTATTCATATTACAAAAAGAAAAATCATATATATTAACTGTTATTATATAAAAAGTTTGTAATCAAATATTAAATTTTTTTTAAATAAAATAAATTTGAAAATAGTTACGTCTTGAAAAAATGCATGTTACGCAAACACTACAGATGTTATAAAAACAACGAAGACACATCTCACGCCATGATGCACCTTTTTGAGTACCCGTGCTACCTTTCTTAAATAATAACCATTTACAACATTTATTATATTCTAACACTACAAACATACAATATAAAAAATTGTTGGGTTTTAGTTTGCGAAAATAATCGGATAAAACGCAGCGAAAAAACAGAAACGGTTACAAAAAAAAACGTTTAGAATTTTTTTTTCTAAATAAAACTAAAGCCGGATCCATTAACAATTAAAACGAATCTACACAAACCATAGGATGTTTAAAATATTTACCTTGTGATTGAAATTGAAACTTTGATGTAGCACTAAGAAACCAAATCAGGTTTCCTCTATCGGTTGTCCACACACGAACATGCTTGGAACTCTCGCCGGGTGCTAGCTCAAAGAATCCTAATTCTATAATTGTATCGTAAGGGTTTTGAGGCTACAACTAGTTATCAGAACTCAATCATCTTATTTGGTTTAGCCCCTAAGCCTTATTTATATGGTCAGTTTTCGAGATTGACCATAACTCTTAATAAGGCTTAATCATTATCTAAAATGATTATTTATTTATCTAATAATATCTTATATAATTATCTAAAAACATTTAAGATAATTACATATATATTTATAGATTAAACCCTGTAATTATAATAATCACAAAAAGATACACATGTTTAGATTCTTTCCTTAGTGGTTTGTGTGCGACCCTTTAGATTTGCATGACTCGTTGGCAGTATATCTAGGTGACACGTGTCGTGGGTATAACATACAACTTACAAATATAAACTACCTGTAAACTACGTTAAAATGACAAGACCGTCACTCGAATATTGTTTAATGTTAAAACTTTGTTGTTCAAATAAAAATCATTTATATGACTTGTAAATTGTAATTTAGATTAGATATAATAAGAAACTTAACCTGTCATATATTCTAACACTACAGTACAAACAAACAATATAAACTATCTGTAAACTACAATCACTATTTGCGTGAAACTGATCGTACAATGCATACACAAAACAAAGTATATCCAAGAATCTGTTTCGATGCCAATAGTATGAATCTAACCACGCTTCCGAAAAATTTTGTACCATGGAAGACTTAAAATTGCTCAAACCCCTTAACCCAACCATGACTATACCGAATGAAGTCGGGCATATAGACTCAAGTGTCTTGTTTTTCCTGAAACAATACTAACCATTAGGCCTTGGCCTAGTGGCCACCTCCTTTCCTAAATGCCTTGCCTTGGTCGTGCCCACTCGGGTTCGATTTCAAGGGAGGACAAGTTGTCTTTTCCGGTGCTTGCTTATGAGGTATGGCAAGTAAGGTTCACAAAATGTGGACCACGGGGCTATGAGGTCCCCGCCAATAAACCTTATTGGCTACAAGTTACATCCCGTAAGCACCAACGGTTTGTATCCCATTGTGTTTGTCGACTTTGATTCATCTTGAACACCAATTAACTGGAACAGGTGTCAGCAATGACGTTTTCTTGTTATGGGAGTGACGTTACATGAAGTCGTAGAAATACCACTTCTTTAAGCTTTTATAAAAACACTACTTTTTAAAGATAAAAAAATAGTTATTTTTTTAAACATAAATTGAGCAGAGCTACAATCAGTTTTTATTAAAAACTTTTGATTATATAAATCGTCTTGAAATTTAAGAACACACTTAACAATAGCAAAGTGTTCTTTAACTACAGCAGARTAGTTAAGCTGGGCATTTTTCCATTTTCCAGAATAAAAACGAATAAGAAATTCCTGTTTGGAAATGGGATCAATCTGTTTAAGAATTCCTCCATATCCTAGGTTAGAGGCATCAGTCTCAACAATTTTGTTCCAAAGGGGATTTGGAAGCATAAGACAGGGAAGGTTTTTAACCTTTTTCTTAATTTCTTGAACTGCTAAAGTATGACTATCAGTCCAGGAACAAGATTTTTTCTTAAGTCTATCATAAAGAAGAGAAGTATAATGACTTAAATCTTGAATGTAAGCAGAAATATAATTCAAGCTTCCTAAAAATCGTTGCAATTGAGTTTTRTCAAGAATTTGGTCAGGGAATTTATCACCAAAAGCAATGCTGCGTTGGATAGGAATAATCGTTCCTTTTTCAATATCATGACCAAGAAATCTAATCTTAGTTTGAAATAAAGACATTTTGGGTTTAGATATAACTAGCCCATTTTGGATAACCAGAGTCTTGAAAATATTAAGGTGCTTAAAGTGACTCTCAATGTCTTTAGAGAAAACYAGAATGTCATCAATGTAAACAATAATAAAATTACTGTAGGGATAAAAGATGTCATTCATAATCTGCTGAAATTCAGAGGGAGCATTTTTAAGACCGAAGGGCATAACCTTCCATTCATAATGTCCCATTGGAACATTAAAAGCCGTTTTATAAATATCTGTTTCGGCTATTTGAATCTGCCAATAACCAGATTTTAAATCAAATTTTGAAAAGATAAGGGCCTGGAAAAGACGATCAAGAAGATCCTTCTTGTTAGGAATAGGGTGTCTAATCCATTTTAAAACTTTATTAAGAGGCTTATATTAGTTTAGAACAAGATGGGATGCCTTTGGTTTATTGGTTGGATAAAGGGTATAAAATAAAATCAATCTGGACACGTTTCGACTTGATATTTAAATTGATCGGTTTTAAATGATCTAAACAATCATTAAGAAACATATCACGTCCTTTTCAGATCCCATTTACTAAAGCATCCACGTATCGATCCTCGTCATAAAATTAAGCATGCGGACGCTGATATAATTTTTTTTATAATTGCCTTACAAATGAAGAGAACGATGCCAATATGTGTTTGTCTTTAAAGTTACGTGAGGTAAATTAATTAATCCTTTTATTTATAGCATATAGTCATTATTAAAATCGAACAAACTTCTTTTTTGCTCTTAATATGAACTAACAAACGTTTTAATTTTGAAAATGCAAAATAAAAGAAGCATATTTTTTCGTCCATATTTTAAGGATGTGGATTTAATCACCGAATCTCTTGAATAAAAAGCGCTAAAAGTTGATTCCGAAAGCTTTGACAAATTTATCGGAATAGAATGAGCCATGACCAAATTCCCAATACTAACCATAAGGATGGTGCCTGATTGGTTTGAGCTTGGCTCCAAAGGTCAAAGGTCCCAGGTTCAAATCCAAGGAGGAATAAAAATCTCCTTATGGCCACGGAGAGTCAAATGCGGTAACTCCGGGCTATCTGCAAAACAGATGGTCGCCCTGAGATTAATCTGCTCGCATAGCAGGTTGGATATCCAGGTTAATAAAAAAAATCCGAATACTACAGGACCAAAATAGTTGTTTACAGATGATTATTACTTGCTTTTAAGGTTAAATTACATGAAAATAGAAATAACAAAAGTTACAAAACAAAAAAACCAGCTTCACCACTCAAGGATGGAGGGTGTGTAGCAAGTTTGATTTATTCCTTTCTACATCATCCTTGGAGAAATTTGATGAAGAACATATAACAACATCACCACTTGCATAAAGTGTCATGTACCGAGTTAACTCAGTAAAGACCAAAAACCAAAAGATTGATCTTCATCATGAATTGGATCTTGAATTTGATCATGATCTTCATCATGACCAGGAAACCCAAGGTAGCAAGAATTCACAGCATCTAGTTCTGGGTATTCACCGGTTTTTATCTTCGGTGGTAACATGTAACCGTTAACCGGAGTCGCAAACATCTTCCCGAAATTATCATCTTCATCCAAAGATTCATCACTATGATCTTGATCAAACATATAAGAAGAATCTCCCTGTTCCAAGATTGATTGGACCCCATTTACAGCAATATCTGAGGTCTTGGATACATCTTCATCATTCACACAATCTGCAATCTGTTCTTGTTGTAATGGCTCAGATAGGCTTTTGGTACTTGATGAATCAGAGGTTCCCTTTTCTGATTCTTGCAGCAGCAGTTTGTCACTTAGATCAAGAACCTAAAACAAGAATTGTTGTTTGTAAAGTTTAGATTTTTACCTCATTTCTAGCAATTTCTAAAGGACCCATTTTAAATTTTATTACCTCAGATTTTAGTTTTTCCTTTTCTTGAAGGAGGTTCTCGTAGTTTGCCTTGAGTAAGTTGTAGCTTTCTTGCAAAATATCGTAGTCTTTCTCGAGCTGTTTGGTCTTCCAACGTGCACGGCGGTTCTGGAACCAGATTGCAATCTGTCTAGGCTGCAAGCCAAGGTCTTTTGCTAGCTGAATCTTTCTTTCTGGCTCGAGTTTGTTTTCGGTCTCGAAACTCTTTTCCAGAAACTGAACCTGATCGGCTTTGAGACGCCTTTTTTTCTCCGGATGATGGAAGTAGTCTTCATATTCATCGTCTCCAATATCTTCCTGATCGAATGTTTGAAAAAGTGTCCTCCCTGATCCATTCCCTCCATCCTCAAAGCTGACCATTGATCTAGAACCTAATGACATACCATCAATATACACTTAAAAGCATTCATATGATTCCTCTTTGTTTCAAAAGTTTACTAGATTGGTAACACAGTTTTCTTGTAAAATTAAGCAATAATCACAAAAGTCAACCATCAAGATTCATGGCACGAGATAATTTCTTCCAAGCCAATTAAGCCCCCTTGTGATTTCTTGTTGGACATGATGAATTTGCTGGATCTAAAGTGCTTTTTTGGAACAAAAGTGATCCACTGTAAATGAAAAGGCTTCAATCTTTGGGTGGGAACATAAAGCTTCTTATTTCATCATCATAACAAAGTCAAATGAAAAAGAACAATCAACAGGAAATTGCAGATTGTCTCTGGGAACATCATCAAGACAGTAATCAGACAATCTAAGAAGCTCAATTGTGTTTTAATCAAGTGGCAGTGAACTGAACAATAACAGTAGGATATATATAAACAAGTATATGATGTATAACAAATATCAAGCAAGAAATCAAGACATATATATATATATATATAGAGAGAGAGAGAGAGAGAGAGAGAGAGATAGGTGGTTACCTAGAGAATGAGAGGATCCAGAGATGAAGAAGGAATCAAGAGGCTTAGAAGAAGAAGAACAAGGAGCCCTTTTGTTTGTAAGCAGAGCAGAGTTGAATCCACCAGAATCTCCACCGTATAGAAAGCTCCGAGCAGCCATGGCGGCACCACTAGAAGTTGGGTATTGTTACTCAATCAGCCATAATTTTGGTGGACTACATAAAACTGAATACTGATCTTCTTGGAGTATGGGTTAATAAAAACTTAATTTCTTAAGGATTTGGAAGATGGGTATGCTTAATTCTTGTGGCGAAAGAAGCTGGTGATGATGATCTCGGTGATATGGGAAGTATGTGAACACCTGTTGCTCACACCCATCATAATAGAACTACTACCCAGATGAATGAAACAAGAAATTAAGCACAGAAAACAAGAAATTAAGCCAAAAAGAGAGCAAATTCGATGAGAGAGAGAGAGAGAGAGTAATTGGTGTTCTATGTGTTCTGCATAGAAATGGAAATGATGAAAAGGCGAGGGTTTGAAGTGTGAAATGATGGTAATATATAAAAGTTGTCAAAAACTGCTGACTGCTCAAGGATTCCTTTTGGTTGGGTGAGGTGAGAGTGTGGAAGAGCAGTGAGCGTCCTTTTTGCAACATATTTCTTTTATTATTTTAAGAGAAAAGTTAAAAAAAAAATGTAAGTCACTATCCCATTTTAAATAATTAAATATTAAATTATTTTTTAAAATAAAAAAATATAAAACTTTCTAGTTTTTCTTACTATTTTTTAATGAAAAAATATTAAAATTTTTTATTTTAAATTATTAAGTTTTTAAATTTTTTTTAAGAATATAGCATTCAACTTTTAAAAATTGTTACCTGTATGTTTTATTTTAAATAAGCTACCTGTAATTGATTATGAAAACGGTAAAGTAAAATAATGAAACGATTTTATAGTATTTTTTTTTTCATTTAGAAATATCGAATAATGTTTATTTCATATGGAGGGGTAAAACAGTCATTTTCGTAATTCAGACAGTTCTTTCAAGATAAAAAGTAAACAACAACACATTTTATTTATCTAAACATACAAATTTATCCATATGGGACTTAATAGAAAATTTAGTGAACAACCTCTAATTCACGTACACCCGCATCCAAGTTCATACACCTTTCAGTTTTCTCAAGACATATCCACTCAATCAGTTGATCTCTAAATCAATCTCGACCCAAATCAAGATAAAACCCGGTCGATCTCCATGTATATCGATCTCCCCTCCAGTTTCTATTTTGATTTCGTGGATCTCCCCTCTAGTTTATGTGTCGATTTCGTCCTTGTGGTTCGACCATTCTGGTTTTGAGGTTGTTATGTTCATTTTGGTTGTTAATGGGGTTTCAAGTAATTATGAGGTTGACAACATTCTTGATTTTGTTTATCCTTGGTGATTCTTTTGCTCTTAGAAAATCTAAGGTATTTTGACTGTTTTATATGCAAGAAAATCTAAGGTATCTTCACATGGGTTTCTTGAAATTATGAGATAGGATCAAATTTGATGATGTGACTTTTTTTTGTTTTAATTTTGGTTAATTTTGATATTGTTTACTCTATCTTATTCTGCGCTTTCATTGATATTATATTCTGTTGTAATTTTACCCATATAAAGAAAGCATTCAAATTCATAAGTGTGGTTTCATGAATTTATATAACATTCATCTCTGTTAGTTTAATACCTGAAAATTGTGAGATTGACATTGTTTGTATCTCTTAATAATATCGTAAAATCTGACGATTACTTGAGATATATAATGCGGTTGCTTTTCTAGTTTTGCTAGTCGGACTTCAGACGTTTGTCAGTTTATAAAAACAAACAATGTTATTGATTTAGATTTCAGTACCACCTCTTATAAATTAGAAGTGAAACAACATTTCAAACTTCACCACATCTTAAAAAACAAACGTCATCTAAGCCTATCCTTGACAAAAGCACATCTAGAACAAAATACCAAGTGTCGGTAACTTTTTTTAGTTGGATTTCAATGACAAACAGATAAGCACCAAATTTGTACATTTTTACGTCAAAGTACCTTACAATTAATGTTAATATATGTTTAAAAAGGGCCAATTTAATTTAAGTTAATCTAACTATATAAGGCCATTAAAGTTAAGAAAAATGTGTTGAGTATGTGTTTTTTTGGCCCAAACAGCAGCCCAAGTTTGCTGCCCATGAAGGAAAAAAAAAAAAAAAAGGAAACAGCAGCAGCCCAAAGCTGTTGCCCAAATCAGAAGTCGAGAGGGAGAGATCGTGTAGCGAGAGAAGTCGGGAGAGAGAGACGTGATCAGCCAAACGAGGTGCGATGGAGACGGAAGACGTGGGCAGAGAGAGATCGAGGGTGCAGAGTTCGTATATAAAATTGGGAGCAAAGGAGGCGATTAGAACCTGTCGATTGAGGCGAGAGCAGTCGGTCGAGAGGGACAGCAAAGAGGGGCTGTCGATTGAAAGCAGAAAAGGGAAGGAAGCTGTCGATTGGAAAGAAGTCGATCGAGAGCAGCAAACAGAAATCAAGGGAGGAAGCAGCGCTGTAAATCGAAGGGGAGCAGCAGAAATCGAGAGGGAGAAATTGAGCAGCAGAAATCGAAAACCGGAAGCCAAGAAAGGACCGAACTTGAAGAATCTGAAATCGATTTCCATTGTTTTAGAGTCAATTTTGGATTTCTCAAATTAAGGTTGTTCCTAGTCTACTGTTTTCTCCCATCTGTAAGTTCGACTTCTGATTCAAAATAGAATTATGACTTGTTAATTTTCTGTTTCTAGTGATGAGATTATAGCTGATTTGAATTGAATTTTGTTGAGACTTGTTTAACATTGAGCCTTAATTGAATTTTATTTGCACAGATTCTTGTTCTGAATCATTCTTCATTTATTGGGATTTTGGTTTTGAGAAAGACCCCTTGAATCCTTTAGCCTAAATTTGAATTGCTAGTCGTGATTAGGAACTTGTAATTGTTCTTAATTTCCACTTGGTAGCAAATAGTGCATCAATAGACAATCAAGTTCATTGGGTTGCATTATAGGACTGTGTAATCTAGCTTAAATGTTCGGGCTTCCGTTCATTAGTTAGGATTGGTGCTTGTTTATTGCGTAAGGCGATTGGTAGGTTGAATTTTACGTCCGTGACTAGAATCAACTTAATCAATTAGGAACTAATCTATCGAGCTTCTSGTGTTAGTTTAATTATAAAGACAAGCGGATTGTTTGGCGCGTGTCGACACTCACGATCGGTCTAAAATCTATTAAGAAAATGTTTTTATACAAGCCAATGATACATGATTTGATAAAGAACTAGTTATACTCGTCACTAGAATTTATTCCTTATTGCTTAAGGTTCTCAATTTATTTTGCATATTTAGGCTTTTTATCAATCTTCCAAACCCCCCCCCCCCCTTTTATATATAGTTTTATTGTTAATGAATTTGCACGAGGTTACGTCTTTGACTTACGGTTAATAGCGAGTCCCTGAGGAGACGACCCTACTTATCACTATCACAAGTATGTTTTAGAGATAATAGGCTTATTTTTATAAATTCTATTATTTGCCGGACTCGACACCCATCACAAACAATCTCAAAACAAATAAGGTTACAAGCTTTGTTTGAAAACAATACAAATTTGTGACCTTTACCATAACCAAATATAGAACAAGCTTGGACGGTAAATAATATTAAATATGAATGATACAATACGCCTAAAATGCCTCGGCACAAGTGCACCTTACATCGTAGCAACACAACCAAATGGAGGCAGAAATCCAGTTGGACGCTAGTGCTTTATATTATACTAGTTGTCTACCCGCGCAATGCGGCGGAAGCCATGAATTTTAACGATTTTAAAGTTCCATTGGTTTTATAAGATAAGATTTAATGATGATATAAGTTACATTTGGTCTTTACATATTAATACAATTTGAATAAATAAGAGTTATGGTTCCAATCACAGACTATCGATGAAAAAAATTGTATGACAGTTTAAAATTCAACATATTTAAACGACTCCACAAATGTGTTCGATTTACACCAAGTGCAAAGAACCAAGAAACTTGAGTTTTAAGATAAACACTCAAAAACAATAAAGAAAACTACAAATTTGACAAATCATAAGCCATGAAAAGATCAAAAATATGGGTTTTAGAATGAAATTTCAACTGTTTACCCTCTTTTTTGTCCAGAAACTCATATTAAGGTTGAATTAATACAT